TATAACAGTAGCAGCAACAATGTCTAATTTTTGAGGTCGAAATACATACAGTCGGCAACAGGGAGAAAAAAGCGTGGAAGATCAAAAGCAAGGGCGGGTGCATCAAATTGGTAAGAATCTGATGATTTTGCGTATGGTGACAAAAGCGGCCAACGGCGGCTACGGGCTGCTACGGGCTGCTGGTGGCTGCTACGGGCTGCTGGCGGCTGCTACGGGCTGCTGGCGGCTGCTACGGGCTGCGGGCGGCTGCTGCGGGCTGCTGGCGGCTGCTGCGGGCGCGGTATGAAGGCACCCTAAGAAAAGCCGGCGCTATTCCAGTATGCGGACCCCATAATTTTTTTGTCGTGGATTTAACTGAAACTCGGCTTAGGGGGGGGGGGGGTTTCGGCCCGCTTATGTCGAATATCACATTGGTTTTGTACGATAGCGTCATTTTCTGAGGTTACGGTGGGTGTACGATAGGGGGGGGGGACAAAATCACAGATTTCCCCTGAAACTTGACCCAGCGGGGTTATTCGACCCGCTGATGCCAAATATCAGATTGATTTTGATCCGTAGCGTCATTTTCTCGGGTTACAGTAGGTACACGGTAACGAGTGAACAACATAGTTCTGCCTGAAACGGGTGTACGGCGATTCGGACGATCGTAAAGTTTTGCACACACGACCACCCCCGCGCGCTACACACCCTGCTGCGGCTTTTGCCTAAGCAAAGCACAGGGGAAAGATACATTTGCCGATTTGCGATTTTGACCCTTACCGTAAACCTACCGTAACCGTGCAGGGAGACGTTTTCGTGCGGAGAAAGTGTGACATTCCTAATTACTCAGACAATTGTTGCAGCGGACCGGTCGTCCAACTGGGCATCGTTGATGAGCCGCAGCACCTGAATATCAGCCTTACATGCATCAGGCCCAGCAGCGGCCCACAGGTGTGAGCTGGCGACCCGCGCACATAGTTGATGCCATGCTGACGGTGGCCCGCACGCCTCTAGGCTCATAATTTCACTGGCGGCCCGCGCACCCATACACACTCATGCCGAAATCAACAGCGACCCGCTCATCCATGTGAATTAACGCACGTTGTAAGCACAAGACTCGCGTGAGATAAGACGCAGTAAAAGGGATGCCATCGGAGCTTGCAGGAAGTGCAACGCTTGCATTTAGGCTGACAACAGGTTTCCTTATGAGTTGACCATTGATGGGGTTTCAAATAATCTCGTGTAGTTCGATCAGTAATGTGAAGCAGGAACGATTTCCACTATTTTTGATCTCAAATAGGTTGTATCCACACTCGAGGTCACCTGCGCATGCAGGTGCAGCCGAGCAGAAACCCAACCCTAGGGTGGCCCCGCTATGCTAGCGCGGGCCAACAAGGCAAAGGAAACATTGAAATAGAGGCTGGCCCGCTCGTCCGGGTAACAGGGTCGCTGCACACACTGGAACCGTCGCTGGCCCGCGCTAGCATGGCAGGGCAAGGCCCGGAACGGGTTTCCGCCCAGCCGGCCATGAGCGCGCGGGTGGCCGCAAGAAATGTCTGAGCAGCATGTCGAATAACCCCTCTTGCGAAGTTACAGCGGATTTTGAGATTGTGACTTCCTACCGTAAACCCACCGTAACCCGAGAAAATGACGCTACGGTACAAAACCAATGTTCAGCATCAGCGGGCCGAACAACTCCCCCCCCCCCCTCCCCCCTACACCGATTTTGAGCGAAATCCATGATTTTGACCCCCTAGCGTGTACCTACCGTAACCCTGCAGGGAGGCGTTTTCTTGCGGAAAATGTGATATTCGTGATCAGCATGTCAGATAACCCCCCTTGGCCGAGTTGGAGCGAAATCTATGACAAAAAAATTTTGGGTGCGGATAGCGGAATAGCGCCAAATTCCTATTGCATACGGGCTGTCTCAATGCGAGTGCCCGTCGAGCATCGCTTAACAGGTCCTCCGACGCGGTCCGTGGCTGTATCCTCAAGGCATTTCCTCACGCCTGAGGCAGAGACTGAAGGCTAGGCCCATACTCCTTTGTGAAAAATACCGTAATTTTGCAGCTCACAATGCACGAGAATTTTACATAAGAAAAGCCCTTTTTCCAAAAAAAGCTTCGCAAGTATAGAAAATATACCCGAGAGCGTTCCAAGCTGTATCCATTGCTAGTTTTTTTTTCTGATCGTCATCTCAGCAAGGCGACCTTCTCTCGTAAGATTGCCAATGGGCTTGGGTGCAGAGTTTAACATAAGCGTATGACAACAGAGATTGATTGAGTTCTGCAGAATTTTTGTATTCCACAGCTCAAAAGCATGTAAATCTGGCACCTGCGGTTACGGTGGTGGAGGCATTTGTCTGGATGCTGCCTTCAGAACAAAGTGCAATGCAGGCGTCGCGCGGCGAAGCCGTGGCGCCTAGTCCGCCTTGCAGTGGGAGTGACGATGTTTTGCAGAGTGTTCCGCGCATGGTATAAAACGTAGATTTCCTAGTAGGCGTACCAATACTTTGATAAAATTTTCGAAGGTATTTAAATCTGCTCTGCGTAGCGGGTTTGTTCGTCATGCTGCATGAGAATGTCCTGATTCATCATGAGTTTAGCCCTTTTCTGAGACGTTTTTTCTACTTGAGAACTTCTCTTGATGTAAATTAGTAAATAAAAAATTTGATACGATATTGGCACTGTTAGAGAAAGTGTTTTTTGGTAAAAAGCTTGCAAATTCGATTGGAAATACCTCATGAAAACCTCAAAAGCCGTGAGTGACCAGACCTCTTTGTTTTAAAAAAAGATTTTTTTAGTCTCTTTCCTCAGTAAAATCGGGTGTATGTCAAGTAGCGCGATTTTGCCAGCCAGACAGCAATTAGCATATTATTTGTGTTTTTCAACGCTCTAGGTGCATTCGAAATTTGTCTGGAGATACACTAGGTAGCCCAATAAGTTGTAGAGTTTTATTATCACAAAATAAATTTGAAACATAAGTGTTGAAGACTGCAAACTCTTGGAAATGCGACTAATCTCAAATTTGTAAATATCTCGCTCAGTTTTTATCAGTAATCGCCGAACTCATTGATGGCAACGTCCAGGCAAATTTGGAGCTATGGGGATCTCACTTGGAGGATAATCTTGGAGCCTTAATTTGTCGAGACGCAGACATGGTCCGACAGTCTCCACGCCAACTGGGCGGTGACCAGAATCTCCAGATGAGCTGGCACTCCCCGGGTGCTCGGTGTTCCCCTCCCAATTATGTCCCTCAATTTTATATATATGCTATAATGATAAAATCATCTAGTCAGGATTTGTTCTGTTCAGAAGCAGGAAAACAAGGGTAGAGGGATCAAGTAACGAGAGTAATTAACTCGTACACTTGACAAATTAAAACACTGCCCAAGGGGTAATGGTGAGCTCACAGTTGAGATATTCGCCTCCAAACTGGACCCCAGGATCATATTCGCATGGATTCATGGCGCGACACATCAATTTCGCGGGGGTTCCACGGGTGCCGCGCCATGAATCCATGCGACGACCCGAGATCCAGTTTGGAGGCGAATATCTCGACTGTGAGTTCGCCATTTGAGCTGCCGCTTGGGCAGTGTCTTAGTTAGGGCCCCAAAATACTTTCCACATCAGAACCCAGATTACGTCCAGATTTGCCTGGACGCTGTTAAGCGGCAACTTCAAACGGCTAATAATAAGCCAAAGCACAATGCTTGGTACTTTTTGAAAGTAACACATAACACTTAACTGGGCCTTTCGCGCCTCTTGACCGTCCCCCAGTAAAATTGAGAAATGTTGCTGGTAGTCAGCATCTCAAGCGACCGTTCTTAAAATCCAAACGAAGCAAAAATAATGGTAGTTTTGGCTCCCTACCGTGAGCATACAGCAAACCCCTTATGAAACTACTTTTGTGATGAAAGAACAAATAGAAAAAGGGGCAAATTAGACACGATCAGACCTTCTCATTCATGGTTATTCTCGGAAAGAAATTCCGATCTGGAAAAGCCATAACCCAGCACTCGTGCGTAATATAGAAATAGGTTGGAACAGTTTCAGCATGTCACATACTTTCTCATAATCGTGTCTTGTGAAATTGTCACAAGTCCTCTGAATACTATGCCCACCGCAACACAAAATATTCTTGGTGATAGGGGATATAGCGGGCATGTGCAGCAGTACCCCTAAAATAGTGCCAACGAGCCCTATCATTGTGATAAATTTGCGATCGGGATACTAAGTCGCGCCGAAATTTCTCCCAGTCATGAACATGTACAGTCTACAAAAGTAGTAATGATATTTGTTAGTCTAAGCTTTGTCCTGATCCGATATGTGAAGTTCTAAATTCTCTACGAGACAGATGTGCTATGCTAGTTTTTCATGCGATGCTGGAAGCCTTCGTTGGTGTGTTGAGGAATAGTATATATGGACATAAAACAAATACAATGTTCTACTTCCCCAGATATTGGTACGTCACCATTCCGAATCTTCCATATCCCTAATGTTGTTCTTACAGTTTTTTCATTCCATGCTTACTCTTTATTTTTATTGTTGCAAATTTTCAAGAAGTTTCGAATTTATGGTAACTCTCATAGGAAGTAGGGCGGGAATTGTTACAGTGCTTCAAGGGTGAAAACCGTGTTTGTCAAAATAAATGCAAATTGTTTGACTGACCACTTTTAAGTACTAGATGTAAACCAGCTCCACTGATGATTCCGGCAACGCGGTCGCTGTCCGTATTGATGTTACCGAGCAAACGCCGGGATGATGCCGGGTAAACTCGTCTGAACTGTATATCAAGTTTGAGCGATGTTATGCTTTGCTTTGAATGAACAATTCACATAAATACACTCACTCATTGGTTAGTACCCGTACTTTCTCTTTTCTCGGCGCTCCTTTCTAGGGATTTCCAAAAGCTGCATATTCAAGAGTGCTTAACATTTGAACCTGAAGTAATTTCGCTGAGCAACTCGTTCTAAGCCATATATGCTCTCTCCCTATTTTTGGTGCTCGCTCACGATGTTGGATTGATAACTTATTACATGAGATCCTTTTCAGCCGCTGTGGACAAGATGACCCCCACTTCAGGAGGGTCTGAGTCAAGCGAGCTCATCACGTGTATAAATTGCAGACAGCTTATCCAGCACAAACTGCATATCAGATGTTGCGAATGCTCAGCAACGATTTGTATAGATGTAAGTCTGTTCTCGTTGCCATAACCTTCCTCATGTCAGATTTCCAGTGTTTCTCTTATGGGTGTGAAACGGGTTCTCATTCTCGCGGTCATAATTACGAAATATGTGATCCACTTGGTGGACGAACGTTCGACTCAAAAGGAAGTTGGGGTGCTGTAGAAGAGAAGAAGCTTTTGGCCGCTGCATATCGCTACAAGCTCGGCAATTGGTACTTTTTTCTGCATCATATCTTTGTTTATAAATGAAAATATGTTTGCTACCACGTTTCAATCGTGCCACTTGTCTCCACGACGTAAGTATAACTGTGGACCTATGGTCGACTTCGCATTATTTTATTTATGAATCCTTCGCTTGTTTGCGATGCTGCGCCAAGTATTGAAACTTACTTCTCAATGAAGAAGCAGCTTGCTACTGGTTGACGTATAAAAGAATGTAGCTACTTGATTTGGCAAATCGAAGAGAGATCTATAACACAGCCTTTTGAACGCTGATTTTCAAATTGCTTTCCTTTTCTGCGTCCTCCGGAAGAGGTTATGAGCGTTTGAATGTTCAAATTTATTAAGCCTTCTGTGGCATAAAATTAGCGGGAAGGTGTTCGGAAACACCCGAAAATGGGCAATCAATGTTACATCAGGTATATTGACTACAAAAGGACTACACCCTATGGAATACCACATAGGTGTTTTTGTACAGCTTTCGCCAGTTTTATGCTACTTGAAGTTTGATATATTTGGACATTCAACCGCTCATAATTCCTTTCGGGGAGTTGTTCCGCAAAAGAAGAAAACAGATTTGGAATCAGCTTTTATAGGCGCCTCTACTGGACATTTCTTTTTGTTATGACAGAAATTTGTCGTCGAAATTCCAAATGCGTGTTGTATCTTATCGCTTCAGGGGTGAGGTGACCAAGCTTATGGAAACTAACCGACCCACCAGTCAAGTACAAGAGTACTACGATCGTTTCTTCATCCGTGGTCCAATTGGACAGTTTGCGCTGAAGCGCTTGACTTGGTATGTCATCAGATTATATCACAATTGGTTACTCTTTATGATTGTAGGGAGGAGACTAAGAGATCCATGCTGGCGGATGGCACTCTAAGTCAGCATGTTGAGGCTGATCGGATCACTTATCTGCTAAGTAAGTCCAGAAAGTCGCTCATAGTTTTCTTGTGTATTTGCTGCCATTTTAGTGGTTGAAGATGCTCTAAAAGATGGTAAAACCAGATTAGATCCTCAAAGTGCCAATCTTACGAATGAGATTGATGATTTGGTTCACAATCATATGAGTCGCATGCATTTGGATGCTGATGAGGTGAGAAGCTGTGGCAATGTTTCGCTTTACCTGTTCATATCTCATGAAGCATAATATAGAGCTGCACTCAAGTCGCCGAATCTGGAGTTCTGGATGAAGTAGTTGACCTGGCTCTAAGCGATGACTCTTGCGATCCTTCCGATGTGGAAGAGACTGACAAGAAGGTAAATTTGCTGCTTGAAATAGATAGCAAGATTGCTTTCATTTGGTATGGTTGACTCATTAGCTCAACAGTAAATTTCATTCATGTGACGTCATTAACTACATATGTGCCAAGACGATATCATGTCTTTTTTCTGTGTCTAACTTAGTTCGATGAACTAGTAATAAGGCGTGCTAGTTGATGAGTATCACAGTTTTCCCATACAAATATGCAATCATCGTCCAATTCTTCTAATTTTCTTGTCGCATCTGTCCAAAATGCGTATTTTTAAGATTCCTGAGGATGCTTACTCTACGGGTCTTGAACCTGAAATTGATAGCGATGAAGAGGACACTAATATGTCGACACCCTCACTAAGAACGGTAACGTCAATTCATGATATATAAATAACCTAATCAGCTACTCATCACAGATAAAGGCGGGTAATAGAACAGAGCACAGAAGCACACGAAAGACATCGCGTCAAGGGAGCATACATTTGAGACCCAGCAAGGTAACTAGTTTTATTTCATTTGTCTTCTAGTTCTTCTTTCCAAACGTAGAATTTCATAGGTGAGGGTGAGATGCGGGTTGCGCAAATCAACTCGCGAGAAAAGCAATCGGTCATCGCGTTATAGGAGGGTCATGCAGGACAGTTCATCAACCGATGAAGAATCTGCCAGTGCGGTAGGGGCGTCTTTTGGAATTATATCATGATTTTGCTAGAAATTTTCTTTTAGGACGAAAACGAGAGTATGGAGACAGACCAGAGATCTGTGGTTGACACTCACGAACCTACCCATGGTCTCGAGAAAGAGCATTCAACGGTATGTTAGCCCTCACATATGTTGCTTTGTACATCTCAATTCGCTTGCTACCTAGGATGACTATACGGCCTCCGAATCCGAATATACGAAAAGACCTTCTAAAGAGTTCAATTTTAATTCTATGAAAAGGAAGAGACGAGCGAGATTTGTTTCGAAAAAAGCACGACGACTTAAAGAGTTTCAGAAGCGGATGGCGCGAATGAATAAAGCTGCTGAATTGAGACTCAATGAGGTATTCGCCTAGCTTTCATCGTTTTGATCTCTCCATTTTCAAATGCGAATTGTAGCTATCTGAACTCTGCCCAGCTGATGATATTCGGGCATTACGGGACACAAAACCAAATTTAGCGCTGTATACACATGACTACGTTGCAAGACCAAAGGTCCGCCAGAGTGATATGGATATGTTGGCATACAACGCTTCAAGAAACGATTTTGAATGGGTATCATTTTGATAAATACTATCTTACTTGTTTGTCAAAATGGCTCTACTTTGAAGAGGCAGTCTTGTTTAGGAGTGGTTTAATGACGCCGAACAATTGATCAGCCGCCTTATGGTGCAAGAATCATCAGACAAAGTCGAAGATCTCGAAAATGACATCAAGTTTGCTCGCCTTGAAAAGTGAGTTTCCACCGTAATCTTCTTTTGCATTCTGTCAATACTTGCTGCTTTTGAGGTATAACAGAATCTTGAAAGCGCGTAAAGCATATCGACGTGCTATAGTGGAGCACGAAAAAATCCCAGAGTTCTTCAGATTCATGATGGTTTGTTCGTTTTTTTCTCTTGTCTATTCGTCAACGACCAAATATTCCAAATCCAGAACATGACCATGGAAAAGCGAAAAGCCAGTCAGATTTTCGAACAACGCACTGCTTTGGACAAATTGTTAGCTCGCGCTCAACAGTGTTTGACGAAGAAAGAGATCGAGGATCTCAGAAATCACATTGACAGTAAGTTTTTCGTTTTCTTAAAGGCAGCGTCCGGGCAAAACCTCGACTTCCATGTTTCTAGCGTTTTTTGCTTTTTCGACGCCCCTGAATCTAAATCCGAACCGAGAATTGCTTGAAATCTCCAAAACCCCCGTTTCTGGAACCCTATTTCAATAATCGCGGACGAGTGTTCCGAAATTTATCTGGTGTAGTGACACGTGAAAACATGTGTCGAAGGTAGAAACACTGCGTGTAACGACACGTCAAAGGGGCGCGTCAAACATGTAAGCTCGTCTTCGTAGGCGTAAGGGGAGCGGAAGGAGGAAGGGGAGCGGCACTTGACCCGCCCACCTGACTTTCAGAATTCACATTTTCGGGGCGGACTTGCTGTTTTGTCTTAGTTGAGGGGGACCCTGTCGAAATGTGACAGCATCTGAGGTAGGTCAATTTTGCCCGGACGCTGCCTTTAAACCATTATCCTTCCCTATAGCACTGGAATTGCAGAGACAAATGAACTCATGGATAGGATAACAAAGCTTCAAGATCTCCAGCGTAGCGGAATCACCACTTTGAAAGGTTCGGTTTTTTGCATTGTTTTTGTTATCGTATATTATAATCCTCTTCTTTCGTTTCTCATGTTTTCATCATTTTCAATGAGTTTTCAAAACGTGCCCATTTTGTCGAGCAAAAATACAGTGGGCGTCAATCACGCACATGTGCGTATGTTGCGTTAGCTGTATTTTGACAGACTGTATGAGCCGCCGAAACACAGCTGGCGTCAATTTTCCTCCAAACCATGATTTTGATCAAAAGAGTTTTTTCTTTCCATAAAAGAAAACTGACGTTAGCTGTTGCAGAGGCCGTGCTTCTGATGTCTATACTACTTTGGACTCATGCGATTATGGAGAGCCTGCCATCCCTCGTTTTCCTCAACGTCGTCGTCGGGCTTTACTGCAGATTTGCCATCTCCTCGTCCTTGTTGGTGATGAAGAAGAAACTTCGCTGCTCTGGCAAGCGTAATGCGCAGTTCCGAAAGGATGGTTTAACTTGCGCCTTGGAGAGTCGTATTGTGGAAGACTGTTTGATTATAGAAGAAGTTCTCATTCAAGGAATAACGAAACCTTCCATTATGAAAATGAGGTTGCAGAATCCGCAAGTGCGGTCGAGCAAACCTCTCCGATCATTCAATCTGAGGGCTCGTACATTTCAATCCGTTGGAGGAACAGGGAGCACTGCCAGGGAAACACACTCAAGTTTTGCGTCACAGTCCATGCCGACTTATCCAGTGAATGTAGACGCTGTGCTAGGTGCTAATACAGTTGAAGACATAGCAGATGCGCATCCGGATTTTGCCAGACTTTTACTCGACTGCTATTCGGCTGGATGCGATCTGGAGGAGTACAAACGAGAGTTCCAGAGGCTGAAAAATTTGCGAATCAAACGGCAAGGAGGCGTCAATCAAACGCTCAGTTTTTCCCTCTTCCCTTCTGTACCCTCAGATCTGCCTGGTCACTTATTCGTACGCCTAATGAAGTTTCACTCGGTATACGAAGGAGCTTGTAGAAAATATCTTTCGGAGGTGGTTAATACAAGAGCGGAGGCATCGTCCGCATTCTCTTATGACCTCTCAGCAATCGGAGTTCAGGACCTTTTCCAAGGCGGCATAGCCGATGATGTTGCCATGGCAAACGTTTCCATGCAATACCCTCTGCAAGAATACCAATTCCTTGAACCCGTAGGTTTGGGCCAAGAACGAATGACTGCGGAAGTTACTTATTCACCGGCATTGAACAGCGCTCACACGCATATGCGTCGCGTCTCGCACTCGTCTGCACGCGTGCTTGATGGACAACAAGGAATGACAGTAGGTACTGAATTGGAAACCGCATATGTGCAGCAAGGGCACGGCTATATGTCACAGAATACAATGCTGCAGGGAGGCTCAGTAGATAGACGCATGGTTGCGACACCTCTGCCATCGTGGTCAGTTCAGCAAACATCGGTCAATGCTGCTGACTTGCGCTCTCAAATGGCTACTCCGTTGCCGCCACTGGAAATCCGTCAGTGTCCAGTCTTGCAGCCGGGCATGGCTCATTCCCTTTCTCGCGTGGAAAGCAGGTCTATGAATACTCCAGTCCAACATTTGCAAAGCAGAATGTCGACACCTGTTGCTCGCGTAGAAAGTAGGCACAGTTATAATATGGTAGCCGAGCCTCAAAGTCAACAGTACCAGCAAATGCGATCTGCTTCAGTCGTAAATGCTTCAGGTGGAGATAGTCGTACGTCTTTGACACCATTGACTGGTTCTAGCGAATCACTGCATGATCAAAATTCCTCGTTCGCGACTCCAACCAAGAAAGCTAGAGCTCGCCGAAAAGTTGTGATGGCTTCCGGACCAAGTTCTTCGCAGTCGCTGCCGGCCGTAACATTACAAGGTTGTCAGATGTCCGCGACCCCTATTCCCGGATGGCAACAGCAGCCATCGAAACACAATGTGACAGTGCTAGGACAATCCAGTCATGTACAAAACAGGGCTGTAATGTCTGCTTCAGTGACTCCATTGCAAAGGCAGTTAACTACACCTGCACCTGATCATCGTGAAATGATGAGTTCAACTCCCTTACCTGGTTGGGGATCTGGTCAGAGTGCTTCCCAAGTTGAGCACAGTCCTTTAGTATCGTCTTTGCCTCCGCTTTCCCAGTACACGTCAGCAGTCCAACAATCGCGTCAGTTGAAAACTTCCTATCCAGCGACGCAAGATAGGCGGCTTGTAACTCCAGCGCCTCAGTCTTGTGAAGTGTTGAGTCAAAGTTCATACGAGCAGCCACAGTTGTATACGCAGTCCCGGGACATCATGACTCCTGCTTCGTTTGTTCGACCGGATAGTGTGGCAGTTCAATATCCACAAGGCCAAGTTATGGCTGGTTCAACGGAATTATACTCGCAGTCAGCTCTCCCCTCCTACCAGTGGTCGGAGGCAACTTCCATGAATGTTTATCAGCAGGGTCAGTATGTGCAGCAACAGTCCTACAATCAGCAGTCGCAGTTTACTCAACAAATCAACACCGGTAATCAGCAAACGGCGTTTGCCTCGCAATCTTCACAGTATGCCAGTCATTCTGTTCTTCCCCAGCAGTCTCAGTATCCTCAAGGCACCGGTGGAGGACAAAAAGTATCTGCCTTTTCGCAACCGTATAACTACGTACAACAGTCCTACTCATTACCAACCTACCAGCAACAGTCCCCTTTCTCTCAGGATTCTTATGCTGCAAGTGGCTACCCACAGCGCTCGCCGTATGCACAGCAGCAACAACCGGCGGAACAACAGTCACAGCGAAAACAGCAAGCGCAGTCTCAGGCACAGCAGCAGAATCAAACCATTCAGCAACAACTCAGTCAACCGGCGCAGCAACCGCAGCACCATCAGCAACAACAGACAATACAGCGTCAGATTTATGAGAATTCCGCTCAATACACAGGGTTCATCCCAACGTACACCACCCAAAGTGCTTGTATGCAAGATGTGCACAATGCTTCAGGGACAATGCAGGCTCATCAGATAACTAGTTGCGAGATTGCTCAGCATGTGCCTGAGATCCGTTCACAAGCACAAGCTAATTTCTCTCAATCAATATTAGACATTAGAAACTCTTCCACTGGCACTATCGGTGAGCCTTTGCAAAATGAAGAAGGTGTTACTCCTAGAGAAGCGAACGTGAGTCTTAACGACAGCAACTTCAACAGCATATCCGAAAATCCTATGGTGAATACGCTAGTGGAAGATGAAATCACTTTCGGAGTTACTCAAGTGCCTCCTCCGCCTCGAAACGATTCTGAAGCAACGGTCCCTGCGCGCGCATCACCTGCTTCTGTCTCGCCAGAATTCATTGAAGGCGAAGATGAGACAAATTCACTCATTCCCACCATTTTCTATTCAACCAATCAGAACGATCTGTCAGATCTACGCATACAAGACTCTCCATTGGAAAAGGGTTTGAACTGTCAGCATTTCCGCTTCGATATAATTTTGGCAATGAAACATCACCGGATTGGTAAAGAAGATTACGAACGTACACTGCAGGAATTAGACCAGATGGAAAAAGAGAAGTGTGTTGGGCCACTGGGAGATATGCTCATGAAAAGGTTGGGGCTGAAGCGACAATCTCAGCAAAGCCATGGAGGAAAGTTCAGCGTGGATGAGCTTGTGGCTGCATTTGCTGCCAACGCCAGTGTACGTGACCGCAGTAAGAAAATACCGGAGCGTCGAGGAAGCTCAGAATTATTTAGCGAAATTTTGAACGAGATCGCGCATCCGTCGTATGGTGCTCCCTCGTTGGCGACTGAGTCATCCGCTGCTCATCAATCGAACGAACCAAATATCTTACAGTCAGGGGATGCGAACGATCTTGGTTTCCTTCTCTCAGATGATGTAATTGCTGAGTTTGACTCCATGTCGAAAGCAGCGAAGTCTGCGCAGATTGCTGAATCTGTACCATACAGCTCCATTGCTCAGAAACATCAGTCTCAAACTGGACAAACTGGAATCTTGCAACATCGCATTGAGAGTACTGCTCAATCTTCTTCAGCTGCGCGTGACCCGGCATCTGCACATCTTTCTAGCCAAAAGACTGCTAAGCACTTAGTAAGAGATGACAGATTGGATCCACGCTCTTCGTTATCCTTCGGTCAGCCTGCCATTCCCGCACGCCGTTCTCCAGATCACGAGGATATTTCGTCGGCACGGAAAAAGGATGTCATAGCAAAAATTGGTCCGATGTTTCCTTCCACTTCTAAAGGATCGCGGACATTGGTCACCTCTATAGCTGCAGGTGGACGTAATTTGCACGCTGAACAATCGGTAGGAGGCAAGCATACAGTAGAGAAAACAGAACGCAAGGGAGTAGTGACCATTGGTGGTCCAGCATTACCTGCTCGACGCTCTGATGTCTTCAATCAAGCAGAATATGAAGCTCTTTCTCCCGATTCACCTGTGGTTATAACCCCTGAACCACTCTCAGACGAGCCGGAGTGGTGGCGAAAGGATGAAACGCAGTTCAAAAGTCGCACTTCTGGCACAGCTGCAGTTTCCGCTATGATGGGCACAGTTTTCAACCGCCAGTCAGTTGATGATCCGAGGTCTTCTGCGAGACTTGAGGTGCGCACCTCCGAAGGAAGCAAGTATACGTCTGCTAGGATGGAAGAGTCGTTTGCAACGCAGAAGTCTTCCTCTTCTGGACGTGCCGATATTAAAAAAACGCTAGTAAAACGTCATGGATCAGGCACTGTCCTCCACCATGGTGAGACATTATTGAATTCGGATGTCGACGAGTGTGAGCCAAGCACGAGTAACTCGGACCTAATCATGAAGAGGACTTTGAAGAAATCTAAGAAATATCTTAGCTCAGATTCATCATCGGAATCGGATAAAGATCAGTCTCCATCAGCTGCTCGCTTGCATTCGTCTGAAAAAGCGCGAAGATCACATTCACCTCACAGTTTTCGATCCATCTCTCCTAGCTCCACAAAGAGAAAGCTGAAAAAGGGTTCACTGGTAGTGAAGCATGTGAAGGAAGCTGTTATTAAATCAGGCCTATCCAAAATGGATCTTTCCCGTGAATTGCTGGCAAAACAGATTTCTGAAATTATTGAGGAAGAGCGGTGTAAGTTACCCCCAGAAGAAGCAAAGCAGCTTAAGAGACCACTTTCTCCCGCGACGCTAGATGTTGTCATCCAAGACCTAATGCAGCATCATATCTCCGAGGATAGCAGCCCTAACCGGGAGTTGTTCGCATCGAAACTACTTGGCACGGATCTTTTTTCCAAGCTATTCTTCCGCGCGGGAAGATGCGTCTTCAAACACTATGAAGAAATGGATGACATGAGTAAGAAAGACAAAGGAAAAGGTTCCAGTCAGCGACGCAAGTTAGCTGGATCGCGTAAGAGAGACACCGAGTTACTGAGAGGCATCAGAAAATCTCGTGAAATCCAAAAACATAGGGACGCGGTCAGAGCTGCAAGGGAGCCTACAGAAGCAGAGAAGGCTGCAGCTGCTGAAAGAGCGAAGTTGGAAGCCATGCCGTGGTTAGCGCGAGCTACCTTCAAACCTATAGTTCAACAAGGATCCTCTTCAAGATTTGTCATTCCAAAAAAATCTTCAGCAGCTGGGAATAGTCGACAAGACATCTCTCGCGATTCTTCCAAAATGTCACGTCATAGCGACAGTGATGCCAAATACCATCCTGATAAAGGAAAAGAATTATCTGCTGTATCTCAGAAATCACAAAACGTTGAAGAGACTGAAATCTTGAAAAGCAGTCGATCGGCAGAAGGTCTTGACAAAGAGCGAGTGATGTTTTTGAGAGAACAGAGGTCGCCAAATAGATTCGAAGAAGTTGCCGTTACGTTCTCCTTTGCAGTAATTCCAAAGTCTGGGTTACACAAGGCCAAGGTCAAACATATATGGCCACTGAAAAGATGGAGATCCGCGGCTATATCCTTAGAAGAACCTGTTGATTTCTCTTCACATCATTTTGTTGAGGAACGCGAGTTTGTCACACATAGTTCTGCAAGTGGAGGCAGTCATATGCATGAAGATGTTGCCGATAGCGGAAGCAAAATTGAACGCAAAATTGAAGAAAAATCTCAGCTCAGCCACACAGAGCCCAGTGTCTCATCCACTAAAGCGGAGTGCGCTTCTGCGACTGAGGCAGAATTAGCAGCGCTTGCTCTCCAGGAGGAGTTGTTCAGGAGTGAGCAAGTTTCTCCAGATGACCAGTTTGATGCCTTACGTTATCTTGCTGCTATGCCAGAGTCGGAATTCCAAGTCGGTAGTGACGAGGCCGTAGCGTCAACTTCAAACGTAGTGCAAAACGAAGTTCTCCCATCTAAGGTAGAAACCCCTGCGAGCATTGCTGTTTCATCTAAACTTTTTTCTCCTGCAAGATCACGTGACGAAAATCAGTTTGAGCAGGCAGACTGGATGAGAATTGAGCAGGTGCCGCAGCCATTTTTTGCAGCTGATTTCGACGCAGACCCTTGGCGCCTTCCACTTCCCACAACTGAGTCACTTACACCTAAACACGCTCTGGAAAGTCCTCAGACAGCGGCGGTGGTGTCATCGTCCTCTCTCTACTCGACTCTTCAGGAAGAATTAGATATAATCGTTAGAGACACACTGGGAGACACGACCTACGATCGCGTAATTTCGAGCACTGATGAGATTTCGCAACTCAAATCGGGGAGATTTGAATGGCCGAAAGCTACTGTACCTATACGTAGTTACGCTTTGGATGTTATTCTTCCAAAACTTTCATGCGACAAGTCTAGAATCCCTATTATCGACATGTGCCGTTGTGAACGGTGTCGCACCAGATGCGCATACTTCTGCGATGAAGATGAGTGGAAATACCTTTACGATCGTGCCGTTCTACAGCGTAATAAGCAGGGATCTACCGATCAAAATGAGGACAATCTCACTGAAGAAATGTGTTCCACTTCGTTCTCAGAGAAAAAATCAGCTGCAGATGGGACAGAGACGAGCCAATTTGTTCGTGCATACCATCATACTTCTGACAATCTCGACCAGACTACGCAGGAGGCCGACGAAGTCCTCTCAGTAGCGGGGTACTTTTGCAGAGATTCAGATGATCGTATGGATTGCTTAGGGATAGTTCGCGAACGTGTGACTGAACAGCGAAGCGCCAGTTTTGCTCCTGCTGGCGTATCCACTTCGATAGCTCAGAATTTCGTAAATCAGTCCCGTTGTCGTGGTGCCAAATATCGATGGCCCGTTCATTCAAAAGTCCATACTTCCGTGTCCATGAGCATTGCCACAACATCTATTGATACACGGATAAAAAGGCCATCTGCATGTGAGGGAATAGACAATATTGTACCCGTTTATGACAGAGTTTACGTCAGCAGCACCTTTTTTACTGAAAGTGCGACGGAACTCTTTGACTTCGAACGGAAAGAGTACCAAGAAGACGCGTACATGTTATGGTTCGATTATCAACGTGCAGTCGAACGTGTCTCTTTTTGCACCAATGCAGAACCACTATCTATCCCTTTCTGTAGAGGAACAAGTGGTCGAATGGACACTAGAATTGTTCTTCCAATCCGTCAAAAGATATTGATACGGTGTTCATTGAGTACTTTTCATGAACCTTTGAGTATTATTCTTCACCGTGAACGACCATTTGCTCGCGAAGGGATTTCGATTCCTTTGATCACTAGGGAAGCCAATCGAATGAGTGTCGTCGAAGTTTGCCAAAGTAGTGTCAAACCTAGTTCCTTTGGTGAAACGAAAGCTACTATAAATGTTCCTCGATCATCTGCTGATAGCCTTAGCATCACATGTGCGAAAGCGACGTTTGACCAATCATGGATAGCAGAGAGAACAATGCGTGGAATAAGTACAGCGCTGGATTGCTCTCGTTCAGAAAAAGTCATGATGAACATTTCCCAAGTAGACGTAAGAAGAAGGAAACTCAATACTTCTTTCTTCAAGGAAGCTGTCTTCGCTATACCTAGAGCAGAGTCATCGTCACTAACATGCTCCACACTGACGTCAGAATTTTTGCGAACTGCATCAAGCGTAGCGGTAGACATCTCACTTCCCCTGGTTGTCCATGACTTCACCTGCTACAATTCGTGTATGCTACGACTGCATAGAAGAAGACCAGGCTCTACAGGATCTGCTGAAATTGGACTTCCTGTTGCTCGATCTATCTCCGAATCTCTAAATGTGTGCGAACTCATTGTTGAAAGAAGGCGTCGAGCGTTTTTCGCGAGCATCGCAATTTCAATTACTATACCTAGGATCACCACCACATCGCTCACCATTATCGATGCATCTATAGAAAAGAAGTGCAGAAGTGCTTTGGATTCGGTCGTAGGAGTGATGCCCTTAGCACGCTTAGCATACAGTGTTTACAACGCGATGAAACTGAATGTCCGACGCAAGAGAATGGCACAAACCTCATGCGCAGAGAAGAAGCTTGAAATCCCGAGAACAGCTGTCGCATCTTTCTGCTCCACCGATCTATATGTAGATTATGCTCGCCCAGGAATTCAGATGTCGGTCGAATTTCTTGTGCCAATACCGCGCAGAGAAGACACCATATTGAGAATTTCGCAGCTCAGAGTGAAAAGGCGCAGGGCACCGTGCTTGGCGGAAGTGGAGCGAAGCGAGCCTATTCCCAGAATCGACTTTACTGAATTAAACGTTTTGGAGTTGACTACGTCTCGTCAAAGGAAAAACGAAGAGTGTAGTGTTGAGCTTGTCACTGCGATCCCACGTCATTATGAGACCGCTGGTACGATCATGGACTGTCGGTTCGGTTTCACTCGTACCTTCATGGACAAAAAGGCTGCCAGCTATACTGTTGACATACCTCGAGAAGAGAAATGCTCAACGCACATTTTGAACGTGAGGGTGCGACGCTCTCGTAAGCAGCACACATCTCATGTTTCTTTCACTTCAGAATATGCAGATTCGGATGCTTATAGCTTATCAGCCTTTGAGAGCATATGTCCGCTGACACGAAAGAGAGAGCCTAATGAACTGGAACAAGATAGCATGGTTGTCGTCGACATCCCTCGCGTTGAGACAGAGCAGCTTCGTATCTCAACGCTGAAAACCTCGAGAAAGAGAAAGCTTGCTGCGGAATCTACAACATTCGTGAAGAAGTTAGCATTAGAAGATAAGGCTGACTTGTATCTCACTGAAAGGAACTTCTCTAGCTGTGAAGAACGCTCCACAGAAGTGGTATACATCAAAGATCCTAGATTGCCAGAGAGATGCTCCAGTACGTTCATGGAAGTGTCCAACAAATGGAGAACTTTCGCTCATCAGCATGTGTCCAATCGTCCGTTCTCATCACACATGGTCACCCAGTTTGCAACATTGCTACAGCGTGTGTTTTCTGGTGCTCTGAATCGTGAAGCTATCACAATGCAGCAGATTCATCGGATGGCAAGGAATGCTCACGGGCGTTACAGTATGGATGTATTCACGGATCCTCAAAAAGTGCTGATATCTGAATCTGTGTCTAGCAGTTTGTGGAATAGCCTGATCAAACTTAGAATGCAACGGAACTCCACCGAAATTTTGAATCGCAAGGTTCTTTCTCCGTTGTATCTGTTTCTCGGTATACCGAATTTGCCCCGGGTTGGAAGACCCTGGAGGAAGTGGCTCAAGCCTTTGGAGCCAACGATAGATTCAAAGATTGGTTGGCAACTTGCGCTATGCATGAGAATACCAGACATCGTGGGCGTTGATGATATGGACTACAAGCTACAAGCAATCAAAATGTGGTGGACTATAATGATGTTGAAAGGGACCGTTCCCTGGTCTGTTTATCCATGCTTTTCTCGCAGGCAGCTATTCCTTCTGGTCCGTTTACTTGAGATGCTGCAGGATGTCAATAGACCACCATTCTCACTTTATCCACCCAAGGCATTTTTCAAAGCAGTGAAGAAGATTCTACGCCATCCTCGAATAGAGTTGATACCCAAGGATGTATTCCATCCAGATGTGACCATCATGGCTACGCTGCTCAAGTTGAAGCCGAACAGGGTGTTCCAGCTAGATCGTTCTCTTCCTGAACTGCTCTCGCAGTGGTTAGATGATATGAACTATATTGACGCATACCTAGCATATGACGTTGATATTGTTCCTATTCCTCAGTCTAAATTTTTGACAATGACTGAGTGGGCATGGGCTAACTATAGCCAAGGATGTGCTCTTGACTGGATCCGCTACGACCGCACCGTTGATCTCGGAGATACTATTGCAAAATTGGTCGGTTGCCTCCAAGATGTGACTTTATCATTCGAACAGCGAAGAAGGATTTCTATGCTGAAAAGCGCATTGCTCAGTTTTTCCAAATATGATGATGGACCTGATCTCAATCAAGTACCTATCGATATAATCAACCCATTTGCGTTGTCTGCTTCTTTGATCTCAAAAATCCCGATGCCTGATGGTTTTGTTGATGAATGCTTCGCGTTTCTTGCAGAGGTGATTTTGAAGTCGCGATAGAAGCTGAGTTTGCTCCAACTTGCGTTCGTTACAGGTTGCGAAAAAGTCAAACCGGTTACGCCAAAATCCTACAAGAAAAAGCACAGGAAGCTTACTAAGTTGGAAATGGAAACCAAGCGAAAGTATGTTTTTGTGAATTTTTATCTTTTTTTTTTGTTGTTATTCCGCTCTTAAAAAGCGTTCATCTTCATCTGACTTGACTTGTATTTTGCTACAGGGCTGGGCTTCGTTGGCAAGCCTACAAGCGATGGCACAAAGGTCATTGGCAAAACGACGATTAGCACTATCTTCGAAGAGTTTTGGCGACAAAAGGTCTGTTCTAAAGTACATTTTCGAGTTCATATGCAGTATTCATTGTTTCAGTCATTTTCGACCACTTCCAACATTAGCCGGGAAGAGAGCATGGCGTTAGACTCATTCAATCCTCATTTATCCACAAATTTGTCAACTTGTCAGCTTAATTCAACGAATGTACATCAACCCAATACTTCAAGTCGTATAGCCACATCAACTCAACATTCTCCTAATACTGTAAGCGCCTTGTTTTCTAAGTAGAAAATCAAGAAGGCAATGTTCTACCAACATTTATGTTCCGACCTTTACAGGTACAGAGCGGAATTACCACAAACACTGAAACGATTTCGCAACCTGTCAAAGAACCAAATCCACATCCACATAAGAAAATCGCGAAGGTATGCGAGAACTGATAGAGTGCTTTCTGTTGTACATTTTGATCTCTATCGTGTATCGGCCAGACGTATAGTTAGTTGTCAGTGAACTAGTGTACAGGACTTATCAACTGCAGGTCGGGTGCACCAGCATCTCCGCTTCCGCGCGGCCGCTTTGCCTGGACTTTACACCTCTTTTGCGAACACGCTTTCTGATCACTTTCCCACCGCGAGCGTGGGAAAAGGGGAGCCTCAATCGATTGGACATGGTTGAGAGCATGCTCTGGAAGAGGAGCCCCGCGCGGGGGTGGAGATGTTGATGACACCCGACACTGCAATTTATAAGCCCTGTATATAGTGAACTGCTCTGTAAGATAGGCGCCAGATTTAGCGACTATTTTGTTCAACTGCAAAAGGCGCGCAGATTTAATGTCTGCTGCATAACGTCTGCTGCTGCTAAGGCATGCTTCAGCTGCAGGTCCCGCAGAATCAACGTTAATTCTGTGTGCCTTTTGCTGCTGAACAAAATATTCGCTTAGTCTGGCACCTACCTAATGACTAATGTATTTCTACCGACAAATTCTTAGGCAAAATCGCTACAGAAGCCATCTGCCAATGTTCCAACAAATGTCGAGACGTCACAGACCGGTGATCGCAAACGAAAGGAGCTGGTAAGTTGTCTAACAAGTGACTTTTGAGCATTGTAGTTTTAACTCTTTAGGTTTACAATGAACACACGAGCGTGTACTCCCGTCCAATGAAAAAATCCAGGATAGAGGTATGTTAGTACCGCATTAATCGAAGCCTAAATATTCTTTTGAAGAGGAGAAAACGTGCGCGAGTCAGGGCCAGCGATGAAGATAGTTCACCATCGGCTAAGCAACACATGTTGAAGGTTTCCTAATTAACTTCTGTTACGTACTCCTGAGGTCTGCTTCAATGTCTTTTTTTCACTCAGATTCCGGAGCATCGGCTTTCCAAAATTAGACATACATTGGCCAGACGGGGAGTGAAGACTGAGAAAATGGTTCATGAAACTGTGTTAAGAGCTGTAAGTTTGTCACTTTGCCACTCATGTTTTGTTCTACGTACCTCCATTTTAGACCGCTCTCGCAACGGCTCAAAAAGCTGGTGTATCTTTGCCTTTACGCAGATCTTTAAAACGTCAGCTAGTACCGGAATTCGCGCACACCACTGCAACAGATAAAGAATTATCTTCTTCAAATACTGGGAAAATAAAGAAGAGCCGAGCTGCCACGTTATTTGACATAGCTAATTTTGAATACGTCCTCGAAATGTCGCTACGCCGCCCCAGAACATTTGTTAATTTGTACAAGGTAGGAAATACGTCTCTGGTCACTACTGCTCAAAAGATTGGATCTTTTACAGACGATGAAATACCAGTACAGGATTATCGAAAAACGTCGTTGGGTGGAGAAAAACGGAAAATTGTACGATAGCGCCCAGTTCGATAAGGTAGTTATCCTTTTAGCTTTTGAGATTTGAATCCCTCGTTTTATCCTTATTGTTCCAATTTTTTTTAGTTCATGATGGAATACGATCATTCCGAGGCGAAAATGCTGGAAAAGGCGAAACTTCTGAAGGCTGAAAAAGATATGGAGATGGTGCTGGGTATTAGCAGGGCGGATGCTATAAGAATGGAAAAATTGTATGTTTCAGCATCATATGCCATTTTTTAAAGCACTTGCTGTGGAACGGTGCAGCATTACATTAACATACGTGTATTTTTCCAGCTCTGTCAAGGATATCGCCCACTGGTATGGCATGAATGCGAAGTATGCCGGAGAAGCCAGAATCCTCATCAGCAAAACTTTGGAAGATGCCAGCAGACTCGATTCTGCCATAAGGGAAGTATTGAGGCAAGAAGATGATGCTGAAAAGCGTTCAAAGGAGCAAGCTTGGAATGCCATGTCAGTCAGAATGAATCCTGTTCTTGAAAGGGATGCTTCGTTTATGCGCGGAGTATTTACTGAAAGAACTGGGACTCTCTCTGGGTTCGATGGTGGAGATATCAGTGGAAAGGGTGACCTGAGCGGATACGTGCTGTCGCAACCACGCAGTGGAGGTTTTGAAGACAGTAGATTGCAAACATCAACACTTAGCCTATCGGGAACGAACGAAGGGAGCCTATCGGGAATGAACGAAGGGAAAGTTAGAAATGGCGGAAATGCGAAAGCCTCAGGCGATGTGATGAACATACCGCATTCGAGACTCCTACAGGTTTATCTTCTTACTCTACTTTGTCTATACAATCGCTGATCCACTGTATTTTTCAGATTTCTGATGCTGTGATCCCGCCTATATTCCACATGCAAAGCCGAATCCCGATCACATCCGCGTTTGTGGCCGTCTTGCTTGGGATGAGTGAGTATCTAATGTTTCAAAGTTTGCTGTACTGAGAATAGGATGAGCTTCTATGCATAGTTTTATCGATTCTAGATCTGGAGTTCAAAGCGATTGTTCAATTCGTGCCAAGGTTCAAGCGCTCTCGAAGAGTAGATGAAGAGATAGATTTGTGAGAGGGATACATTGTGAATTTCATCAAATAGTTACTATCTCATTTTAGACTACCGCCTGGTGACTTCTCTCCATACAGCACTGACGATGAATGGGAAGAATATTATGAGAAGAAAGACCGTTATGAGAACAACCATGTGTCGGTATGTTTTTGAATGTAGTTTGAGATGAATTATGTAATTATCATTAAAACGTTTATCATTTGAGCCTAAGCAACTATCTTGGAAGTCCAGCGGACGTGCTGCCGAAGAGGACGTTATTGAGAGTGCTTCGGAACCAGACAGGCACGAGCACTGTGACTGTATTGTCGACCTAACACGTGTTAGGGAATGGGTTCAAGACATCGAATGCTGTACACTTTGGAAGAGTCATTCGGATTGTGATCTGATACACTATGGTTCCCATGCAAAAACACTCTGGAATAGCCTGCACCAGATACCACGTTCCTCATCAGCGCTTTCATGTGTTTCGACGGGGAAGATGCCAGTTCTCGACCTCAGATCTAATCGGTCTACAGTGTCAAAGCGTCAACGTCGCATCCGATCAAGCTCTCTTCCTACGAAGCTACACAAATACAATGTTCCAAGGTCAGCCTCTGTACCGCCTTCGTGGAAGTCACATCCTGAAGCCGCTCCAGAATCTGAATCAAGGCTAAGCCTTAGTGAATCTCGGCGCGATCGTCTTATGTATCCGAGAAGACTTTCAGCCTGTCATTTTTATTCGTACGGTGCTAGAAACCTATCAAGAAGAAGGCGTTTCACTCGAAAACAACCGACAACTAACCGCATTCCCACACGGGGACAAGAGTTACCTGAGCAATGGATCAAGAGAGAAAATTCATGTCGTCATGATTATTTGAAAGGAGTTCGTTATCGGCTGCAGATTAAAGCACAGCACCATATCCCTGTCGTTTGGTGCGTTAGATCTGAGCACAACTCTTCCCCCATTGAAGAAATAGAAATGGATGAAGAAGTAGTGGAGGCACAACCCATCAGAACCAGCGAACCACGCGAGTGCCCGTTGAAGTATCCAATCGCAGTGTATAACCCACCACCTAACTGGAATACTTTTATGGAGTGGAAACAGAGAGAAAAACGTACCGTCAGTTTGTGCGAAAGCTTAGATCACCCGACTGAGCCCTCGGCGTTTCAACGAGTTCTCCAGAGACCACAACCAATCTATTTGAACAGGCTCGATGCGCTTCTGACGTCAGACGATGATGAAGTAAGTATTCATACATTTTTCTTACCGTCACTTTTGTTTTTCTTAACTCGAAATTCTTTGCAATATTATGCTTAGCACCTCTTTTGGGTTTCAAGCGTTTTCAAAACAGTTGTCTGTCTCACCCTTGGTCTACTCTGCAAATCCCATTGTTTTTGCTTGTAATATGGTCTTTCTGCAGACAAGGGACAAAGGAAATTTCCCTCTCTTTTTCGCGCTCTACCGCATGACTAATGGCAGTGGTAACATGCAGTTGAATTTCAATCCAATGAAGTTCGAGATTAGATTTGATGAGAAGTAGTACCTATCCTCTCGTGGAACTTTTGCCCTAATAATTGTATCAAACCAGTTAGTGATGTAGACTTCCGATGATCCTGCAGCTAAAATGCAGTGGTCATCAGTTTTTGTAGTATCTTTAGAGGTGGCGTTCTTCATTCTTACTTGTGTAAGTTTGCAAAGCTTAACTACTTTTTTCTTGTAGAGGGTACCAGAATGGCCTCTCCTGAGGCAGCTTCGTGAAATGGAGCGTGAACTGCTGGCCGCGGGCAATCCTATTGCAGTCGAGCGGCAGAGAATCCGTGAGTACAATAAGAAACTACGCAGAGAAGCACGGGAGAAGGAAAGTGTAGAAGAGAGACTTCGTTTGATGCAACGTTTCTACCTGGAATACTTCCTTGCACAGCAGCTGTTTTTGGCACAGGTATTTTTACTTATTTGTTTCATGAGATTGAATGTTTTTCTAGACTGTAGTGTGTTTCAAAGAGGGGTTTGCATAGTTACTTCTGCAGCGCAGCCCTTCTCTGTTTTTGTTGATTTCTCGGTAGCCGTGAATGTTTCAGTAAAGACGTGTGAAAGACAGGCTGTGCATAGCGTGCGCGAAGTGGTAGTATGTTGAAAGAAGCTCGTACTCATTTGTGGTGCCAAATGCCTAGTGCGCGCTAGTTAGTCTTCCTCCACAGATTACGTGTGGTGCCTGTTGGGAACCTTACGAAGTTTGCAATATACAACGAATCTTTGCTCCAAATTTTTTGCTGTCTGCGTTGCGCCAAAAGAGCCGGTGTAGCTCCGCTTTTGGGTGGAGTGACGATTTTTGCCAGTAAGTGCAGGCGGACTACTTGTCCTCTCGTACGTTCTGTTGCGTACTGTATGAGGACTAGCAGTCTGCAAACCATGTACCTAGTGGTGGGATTCGTTTATCTATACTTTAGCGCACTACTTTAGCAGCTGAGATTCATGTGCTGTCAACTTGTCTCACTGCCAGCCTTGTTTCGTTGACTTGTTCTTTAGCTGTAAGAGTACCGAAGCGTTCTGCAACAAATGGTTTTTGAAATGCCAATTTTAGGACCACGGTCTGAGCACAGGCGACATCACCAGAACAAGGGACAAAAACACAGCGTTCAAGCTGGTCGCACACCATGACGTTCCGTCCGGCGAAGATGACGACGAAATGATTGAAGTTGGATTTGACGAACCTGCGGAAGAAGATGTTGCGCAGTCCTCGACAGATGATGAGTTTGATGATGAATCAGCCGATGAACAGGAATTGTGCGCAGATCCAAACCTGGATTCGGAAGATGATTCTGTTGAAGTGGCTTTTTCTGAGCCAGATGCTTCCTCACATTCATCACATGATAGCATATCATTACCGGAACAAACTGGAGCCCCACCGAATGCAAAATCATCAAGTTCACCTGAACTTTGAGCAGTGAATTTTTTGGAGTACTTAATTTCCTTTTTTTTCGAAGTTAGATCTCTTCAGTTTGTCTTTACGACGTCTCTCACCTATATCTTATGATCTGATAGTGCCCGTTGAATTAAGTTGACTGTTGAATATTTTTATTGTACATATTTATCAATTTTTGGTGTCACGCGTCATGCTCTCCTACTACTGGTGTCTAATAAAATTTGGTACTCATCTATTTTTTCTTCACTGTACTCTTCTCAAATTCTCCTCATCCAATGAGCTCTTAATTACGTGAAACTTCTTTTGTTCCTGGGTACTCTTCAATAATTTTATACATATGTTGTATTATACTGCATTTTTCATGCATTATTGTCATCTCACCACTTTGTCTTGTTTTTCCTGAAATGAAGCGTTGTTGCTGTCATTTTTGAGATACAGCGATATACTGAAACCGAGAAAGGTGCCAGAAAGACCATACATGATGATGGCTACCCTTGTTCCAAACACCATCCCCGTTACCTTTGTGTTTCGACAATCCATCTATATCGTACAGGAGCTGTACAGAAGATGAGAATGGCAGCTCGGAGGCAGTGCACCCTTTGTTTCAAAATTCATCCAGACACGTGGAAATTTTTCCATGTTGGAATGGCAACTCAGAGGCGGTGTACCCATTTGTACCCATTTTTTCCCATTCGAAAATCGATCCAGATTGTGAACATTTATTTGATGGAGCTTAACTAGTTTAAGTCATAGACGATATCATAGTTAAAGCTATTGTATTGCGGTTGACAACAATGTTTAGATTTACTTAGAATATAGGTTGCCGCAAATGTGACCAGAGTTCACTTCGGTAATCTCTTCATAGAAATGGGTGTTAAGGCCCTAGAAAGCCTTGCTGCATCAAACAAACAAATGGAAGTCCACAATAGAAGAAATTATATCCCAATTTCTGTGAAAATTCTGAGATTGATTGTAAGTATTCGTACAACGAAAACTCATTATTGGACGCTTGATCTTGTGATGGTTCTTAGCAGATTTGGTGCTATTAACCAAAGTTGCACATGCTCAAAATATCTGCTCTAGCTTCGAATCTACAAAAAAAGTTGCTGCTCGAAATCTGCGGTACAGGAATCTTTTTAGATGGTGCCAAACGGTGGGCACATTTTGGCAACATTTTCCTAAGAAAAAACAAACATTGTTGTAACATTAGCGAAGTGAGGACTGTTGTGATGCGGTTACCGGTATGAATGTGTGGACCAAGCATAAATGTTAAGATTATCTAGACATAAAATGATATTTTTAGTTCAACCAGTTCAACCAGAGTTTCTCCTTCAGACGAATTGTTGCATTTGGTTCAACGTTGTAGACGACAACACCTGGAAATCACATCTTTTTGGGAAAGAGCCTTAGCTTATTGAAAATTCCTTCTGTCCACAGACCTTGACCCTTTAGCTTAACTTCTTCTGTTCTCACATATCGAAATCGACATCCGCTTCTGACAGCGATGTCTATTTTCCATATTCCATGACCGCAACCAACCTAAACAACATTCGTTGAGTTTAGCTAATGCTTCAAGGAATTCTTTTTCCTTGTTTGAAATATAAAAAAAAACGTTGCGTGCAAAAGACGTGTCAATTTCCCGAGTCGTTTAAATCTATTAGACTTGAGAAATTTTCGGTCAAATACGTGTTTTCTGTATCAATAATCACAACTGTGCTTTATGCTAATGGATCCACAACGGATAAGGAACCCGTCATACTTCGCCGAGAAAAATCCAAAAGCTCCCAAAAAAAGCACAAAAGCGCCCAAAACACCCCGAAAAAGCTTAAAAAAGCCCATAAGCGCCAGAAAGGGCGCGCCTCCCTTTTGCGCGCAGATTTTGGCACTAAGGCATGTGTGTTAATTTCGCAACCGAGTAATTTTGCTTCATATTCTGTCGTCTCATTAAAACAATGTCCGAATTCTACCAAAGGTTTCAGGGGCGTTCCGGCTCTTTCTGGCGCTTTTGGGCTTTTTGGGCGCTTTTGGGCTTTTTAGGCGCTTTTGGTTTTTTTTTCGGCGAAGTATGACGGGTCCCTAACGGTCTTTCAGGCTATTAGTACTTTCCAATCTTTACTTTTCCAAATTTACCGCAAGTTCTCTAATCGCGCGAAATTTCGCTAGATCAGCTCTGAGAGATCTGCTAATGAGGAAACGCTCAGATGTGCCAAGGTTGCCTTGAGAAATAATCGTGATGTTTAGACCGTCCAAATAATTTGAGTTTTTAGTTCGATGCATTACGGTAATATCGCTACTCATATAGCGTCTTCAGACTGATTTGACGATACCAGAAACTATAGCAAGGATATAGCATCTAAATTTATGCACTGTGCAATGGTCGCTTCTGGCTGCATATTTTCTCAACGCAGGGCAAGACCACTCAGGTGAATGGGGAAAACAAAGAATGTTTGCCAAACTGGGAACAGAAGGGAATTTTCTAGATAGTAGCTGATGATCACGCAGTTGTAAAGAACTTTGTAAAGAGTTCCCGTATTTTACAGTGTGGCTATCTCCAAGTCTGGAGAAGAAGAAGAGGTAGAAGTTCGATTTTTTTAAAACTTAATGATAATGCTGTAGGACTTCGTCCTTGAGCTTGTAAACACATAGATTTGCAGATTAGCAACTAAACCATAAATACTACCTTAGTAGGATTGAAGAAAACAGTTTGATCCCGTACTGGTCGGAGATAGCTGCTGGTTTCACCATTTGGCGCCTGTACCTATAGTTATTTTGTATTACTCAATTTATTCCTTGTTTCTATATGATGTTACCTGTAATATAACGTCAGTAGAACAAGAACTTGTGAAATGAATCTCGATTTGACTTGCTTGCTCGGGGCAGAAGAACTGCTGGTGAGCGTGATGTTTGTCCACAAACTGTTTTTGAGACCTTGAAAGTACATCCACTCCTATATTTACGTGATTCCAGCACATTGTTGATTAGCAACAAATCATTATCATTGTTTTGGTTTGAGAATATAGGAATATGGGCTTTAGAGCCGTGGAAGTTTCCACTAGCTCTTTTTTAAACCCGAATTTTTTGAAGCTCCATGGCTACCTCCATTCCAAAAACTTCGACTGGTGAGGTTATTATGCGTGCACCTTTACTCTTAGCGCAAATGTTCCATACAATACATTACTGCATTGATGAACTGGTTTATAGTGTGATATTACCTTCTTCTCCTCTCGAAGCTTGTCAAACTACAGTCTTGGTCAAATGCTTTGTTATCGCTCCCGGCAAAACAGTTGATGAGTTCACATGGTGTCGTAGAAACACATCTGGTGGGGAACATGGGTGGTGCTCGTTTTTCTTGTTTGGGCTTTATTACTTGCAGATTATTAAATGATGCCTGAAATTTGAAACGTGAGACTTTCTCAATGATTTGATTTTAGCAATGCCATTGTGCATTACCCTTCTGATCAGAAACACCGTAGGCTCCTCCTCTATCGTAGGCTCCTTTGGTATCACTGGTTTTGGCGGCTTCGGTTTTTTCGGTATCCGTAAGCTGCGCTGCAATCGTTTCTATCAAAGCGACGTCAAACATTTCTAGCTGACTGGATTATGGTAGAGAACTGAGTCAAATTTAGGTTCCAAATTTGTCCGATTTCGAATTTATGCATTAGCCGAGCTGCCAAAAGTACAGAGTGACCCAGAACTTTGTACACTGTTTGACCATTGTTACCTTTCATCACGAAGTTTTTTTTGCCAACTTCTAAACACCATTCAGTGGAGATGACTTCGACTCAGATTCGCAATATGGAGCGAAGCAGCGATCTATCCTCTTTGTAGGGTTACGGTAGGAGCTGCACATAGCGCCAGGGTAGAGGACTGTATGTCGCCGAAATGGGGCGTTCTCCGCGGTCATCTGCAACAAATACGCACCCTTTCACGATGGAAGTGCGTTTTTGCAGAAAGCTTCCCCCCTCCCCCCCCCCCCCCCCTTCCCCCCACCAAGACGCTTCCACATTCGACGATCCTACACTCGACGACATATAGTGCTCCACCCATAGCGCCACTGTAGGTTAGCTGCGATTTCAAAAACTTTCCCAGAGAATCTGACAAGTTGTGTAAAAGGGTTTTCAATCTCGCTGATGTTAATGCAGTACTTTTTACGACTTTCCAAAGCTTTTTGAAGGATGTGATCACATACGGATCTTTGAGAGGCAATTCTTACGAAATGCATTATGGTAGATTGCAAACTTCACATTTAGTATCAGCGAATCTGGTTGATCTAGTGTAAAAGTTTCTAAGTTGTTTGGTTTGTTTTCTGACGGCAAATAGGACTCACTGCCTTCAAACCCTCTTAAGTTTTCCTACCGTAATACTACAGTAATGAGGATATATCGGTTCTTTGCTTTATAATATCTCAGCTGAAACCGGCTCTACAGAAGTTTGCTTAGAGGACGGCATAAGACTTTGTGAGAAGAAAGATATCAACGATCAAACAGTGTAATATCTGCTCCAAGACGAAGGCGGTCGCCCAAATAGGTTGAAAGCATGAAAGGCTGCGGCGCGCGGGCTATTGTCAACCACAGGGCGCGCGCACGCTAGGTCAGCGGTCATCCACGCGAGCGTGCGCGCGACTCGTGGTTGACAATTGCCCGCGCGCCGCGTGCGCGTCAGCCTTGCATGCTCTCAACCTATTTGGGCGACCGCCTTCGTCATGGAGGAGATATTATGCATAGTTTTGCACCCTGTAAAACAAGTGCGGAAACCTTTCGTTCTTATTCTCTATGCATCGCTACATTGCACCAATTTACTGGTGCTATTTGCTACCGCTTTTAGGCCATTTCATGCAGTACTCTGACTTTTGTGTTTTTGTTACCTTTTTAGCTAACTTACGTAAATCATGGCCTTGACCGAGTTTTTTCTGGAGAGTGGCTGCTCCATTTTCGGGAAGCTGCTTTAACGAGTGCGTTTTCTGCAAAGATTAAAACTGTTACATAAAAGCAAAGTGAAGAAGTTTCAACGACGGTAGCGAAGTCTGAATTTGTGGAACTATAGTCTAAGCAGGGAACGATACTCGGTGACCCCAGCCGTTCATAATGGTTTGTTTACCAAAAAAATGCGCCTTTTAATGCTGGTTCAAATACTGTTTTTCATATCTGCGAAACGAGAACCTGGATGGAGTTACAATTATTTTTTCAAAATTGAATTGCGCTACTGCGGAGGGTGAAAACCGTTAATAAAAATTTTTCTTTCCTCTTCAAATGCTGGATATGGTTTAGATAGATATAGGCTGCTGCATGACGAAGGCGCATATCTCTGGGCGCGAACGCGGTTTCATTAGCCTCAGAGCGCAAATGAGGCGCAGGATACAACGGTGAAGATACACGCGCGCAGCGTTCGCGCCTGCTCAACTATTACCCTATTTTCAGGTGTATAAGCCGCACTTTTTCCAAATTTCGCCCGGACTGCTTAGCCGCTTCATTGTGTTTCGAGAAGCAATCCTTATGCCGTACGATTCTTTCATGCAGTACGCAGCACGCTATAGGGTTCTTTGGTTGCGAGATCCTTTGAGTGTTCGGGCTGGTCAATGTAAGCTAGGACCACCCAGCGGCTTATACACCCAAAAATAGGGTAATGCTTCTGCGCCTTCGTCATGCAGCAGCCTTTATAAATACAACGTTACCCCTTTCAAAATTCTCTTCAATAGCTTCAAACGGTAGAATAGATCAAATTGTGTGATTTTAACTACCTAAAAGTACGCAAATTTTCTACGAAAAAATTCCTAACTGCCTTCAAATGATCGCTTCGCAGATTTCGAGCACAGATATAGGATCAGCGTTTCGAGATGCACCTTATGGTATACATCGCATTCCACATGGCCGAGGTCACCAAGTATCCTTTCCTTTTAAGTCTTCTTACATGATTCTACGCTGAGGGTATTTAGTATTTTTTTTCTGAAATTTTCGCGGAAAGATGCCATGCTAAAAAATCATTTTTCCTGCAGATGTGTCTTTAAGAAAGTTTGTAGTGCTGGTCAGTTTCGGTGTGATTAGCTAGAAGCTGTGAGTTTCTAAATCACATTGGATAATTCCAAAGTTGAGAATAATGCTCCTGCACTGCAATGTGCATAGTACTGCTGCCTAACGCTTCATCGTGCGGAGACTTTTCAAGTTTTTATGCGAATCAGCTTTCACAGGTTGTCTTGAAACCAAATGCGACTAGTGTAAAATTTCCTATGATGAATTGAAATTCAGTCGAAGAGCAGTTAGTCTAGTGGTTAGTGTTTTACGTGACATTACCGTCCTAAAGGTCACGGGTTCGCGTCTACCCTGAGTCTAATTACACAATTCCAGCGTCAGGCTACGACAAGCCGGTTGAGAAACATCCCGTTACATCAACAGTTCGGACATGTCTCATAAAGAATCTCGAGTAAAGTCTAGGCGTCTCTCTGAAGCGAGGCGCTTTCGAGCCCCACGAAGGGAATAGTAGGCGTGGATCACCTTCTCAGCAAGGTGAACGGGGATGGCTAAAGCAGCTAGTTCACCAGAGAGTTTATTAGAGGCGACGATCCATGGCATCACAGACTCTCCGTCTAGATACCATCAATATGGGTACACTCACCTCTCATTCTCGAGTGTTCAGACCTCCTGAAACGACGGCGAGTCGATGTAGCCTTCATACAGGAGAAGTGGAGCCGGACAAAGCCACGCGACATCGGGGATGGATATAAGCTCCTCTACAATGGTGCCACCTGCACCAGGAACGGGTGGTATAGCGGTCTCGGAGACTTCAAGGAGCCTCCTCCTCGAAGCTTCAATATAGCTAACGTTGAGCGCATAAGCGATCGTCTAATGAGCATAAACATAGATACTGGGAAACAGGTCCTACGATTAATCGTCGCCTATGCGCCACAAGTTGGATGTAAGGATGATGAAAAGGACGCATTCTGGCAGGAGCTTGATGACCACATCAGTTCAGTTCCACTGGATGAAACTCCTGTTAGGGGCGGACCTTAACAGACATGTGGAAGAAAGGCAACGAGAAGCCGGCAAATGTCACGGAGGCCGCGGATATGAGAATGTTCAATGAAGAAGGTGAGCGCATCTGAAATTCCCCTCACCTCATGATCTGGTATTGATGAATGCCTACTACATCAAGAAGGATGACCACCTCATTACATATATGGGTGGAGGGAGATGAAAAAGATAGACTTCTGGGCTATTCTAAGCGTGACTTCAAAATCGTGAAGGACCAAAGTCATCCCCGGTGATAGTTGCATGTCTCAACATAAACCACTGCTTCTCGACATCGTAATAACAAATAGGAACATAAGGAGAGCCAAGAGACCCAACACGCATCAAATGGTGGAGATTGAAGACCAACAACGCAGCGAAACAAACACTGCTAACAACTCTACTCAACTCAAGCCTGGAAGAAAACCCAGAGCAATGGGCAAGCTTGAAAGATCGAATCCACTAAGTGGCGCACATGATCCTATGAAGTACAGACCAAGGGAAAAGAAGGATAAATTGAGAAACATGGTGTTGGAATGACGAAGTGCAAAAAGTCATAGAGGAGGAGAAGGATGCGTGGGGAAGAGAGGGAATGGGAAGCAATGGATAAGACGAAATCGGAGGACGATCACTAGACGTACCAACAAGCCAAACACGCTGGAAGGCTTTGATAAAGAAGGCAAAACAGGTGTACATGAAAGAGCTCTACGATCAACTAGAGTTTCGCGTGAGAGCATGAGATATACCGAATGGCAAAAAGAAGAGCAGAATCCACAAAAGATATGGACCACTTCCTCCATATCACAAAATATCAAAAATACATATCAAAGACAACTTGTAGGATTAAAAAACCAGAGGAAGGAAAACCTACTTCGAAAGGACCACAACAGGCCGCATCATCGACTTCACCTCAGAAGCCGGTCCCATAGAAAGACCAGTACCAATTCACGGAAGAGGAAGTATAGCTAGCTGTAAGAAGAACCAGAATAGCAAGGCGACTAGTCTGGACGACACACCAAGCGAGTTCTGGAAAATATTTGGAGAATCCGGGGCCACATGGCTAACAAGTCTCCTAAATCAAATCACAGGGAGCAAGAGTATGCCGTAACTGGTATACCAGCACAACGAACCCGATGTGGAAGAGCAAAGGAGACATAGCAGACTGCGCATAGTACCGACCAATCCGACTAATGAGCCACACTCTAAAAACCTTTGAGCGAATAATCACGCGGTTTCGAGATATCATGAAGTTGTCACTGAATCAGTGCGGATTCGCGAAGGGAGTAGGTACAACCGACACCATCCGCTCCGCTCGGCTAGTGATGGAGGAATATGGAGAGAAGAAAGGAGTTGCATAAAGTTTTTCTGGACCTGGAACAACCCTTCGATAAGGTGCCCCATGAAATCATATGGTGGACCTTACGAAAACAAAGGTGTCAGAGGAGTACATTCAGTGGATAAAATTGATCAACTATAACGCTTCAAGCCACGTGCAAACAGCTGCAGAACAATCGAAAAAATTCCAGACCAGGTTAAAGTACACAAAGGGCCATCTCTCCCTCGCTCTTCGTCATTGTGATGAACGCCATGATGGAACCACTCAGACGTGAACCTTTAACACTTTTTTGCGCAAATGATGTAGTCTTGATAGCAAGTACCAGAAAGGAGTTACAAGACGCTGTACAAAAGTGGAGAAACATGCTGGAGTTGTATGGTATGAAGCTCAGCGCCTGGAAGACGTGTAGGGAAACGAACTCTGCCAGTTTGAACCGCCTCCGCGGACTAGCGGTCCTGCAACGACATGCAACAATATTGCAAAAGGACTAGTAACCGGCGAAGGCGGGCTCAAACTGGCGGAGTTCGTCCCCGTACCTTAGAGAAGACAAGCTCATACGAACCATAGGCAGCCACATCTCAGCGGAGGAAAGCCTACAAGAGTAGTTCGCAGGCAGGAAGAACACAGCATGGATGAATGGAGAGCGTTAACAGGAGTTCTGTGCGACAAAAGAATGCCAGTGCAACTTAATGGCAGCGTCCCGGCGAAAAGATGGGTGCCGGGTTCTTGGGGCGATGTTAAAGTAAACTCCCTACCTAAGTGACGATTGAAGTTCAGAGCGAAAAGGGAGGTTTACCAAGACTGAAATTTGCTCCGAAAGTGACCCAGATCTTACGGTGGCCCGAATGCCCACGCACAGCGATTTCGAACAGAAGGCCAGAGCACGCATTGCGCACACAGTCATGAGCGCAGAGTCCCAAAACGACTCTGCGTCTACCTTGCATACATCTCGTGCTCGCCCGAGACTACCGTAAGATCCGCACCACGGGGGGGGGGGCAATTTGTAGACTCCGTAGACCCCTTTCGCGCTGCAAACTTCTGTCGTCGGTTTGGGGGGTCTACTATTACATTGCTGCTAGAGCCAGGTGCCTCCCTCCCCCCCCCCCCTCTCCGTCTGGTGGGACGCTGCCTTTAAAGGCAGCGTTCAGGCAAGTCTGGACACATGGGGATCTCACGTGGATAGTGATTTTGGGGCCCTAACTAAGCCATTGCCCAACCGACAGCTCGAGTAGTGCGTTAACGGCTGAGATATTCCCTCGAAACTGGCTCCAGGATTGTATTTCGCATGGATTCATGGCGCAACGCGTGGGTCCTCGCGCGGGACTGCCATGAATCCATGCAAATACGATCCTGAGGTCCAGTTTGGAGGCGTATATCTCGACCGTTAGTGAGTCACCTGCGCTGCCGCTTGAGCAGTGCCTTAGTTAGGGCCCCAAAATTACTTTCCACGTAAAATCTTCATAGGTCCAGATCTGCCTGGACGCTGCCTTCAAATCCCAACTGCACCGAACCGTTATCCGCCCTGCAGCACTGTATGATAATGAGTGCTGGCCGTGTACGCGGAACGACGAGCGCAAACTCAGTGTCATGGAAACGAGGATGCTACGATGACCCTAAGAGTCACA